CTGGCCCGAGGCGCGGGCGCGGACGAGGGGCCCAGGGGAGGTGTCGAGAGGAGGGGGGCGGGCCAGGACCCTGACCTTCCAGGAGGGCTAAAGAATAGCACGCGACTTAAAAGCCTATCCCAGAGCTATTATATGTCTTGGTTTTAGGCTGTTTCGTTTTGTTGTTTGTGATTTTAGGCCTCCCGTGCTAAAAAATAGCTCTCTGGAAAGTCAGGGGAGAGGGGCCCAGGGGAGGTGTCGAGGGGAGGGGGGGAGGGCCACGAGAGGGGCCCAGGGGAGGTGTCGAGAGGAGGGGGGCGGGCCAGGAGAGGGGCCCAGGGGAGGCGTCGAGAGGAGGGGGGGAGGGCCACGAGAGGGGCCCAGGGACACACAAATTGTTCAACAGGCATACAGGTCCCAGGACTTCCCGGGGTGCTCCCATGTGTTCTGGGGTCCTGTCTTCCCCCCCCCCCACTTCCCATTTATGTTCCCGCATGTGTCTGGGAGTCGACGATTATTAAGTGTGTCTGTTTGTCTTTCCCCTCCTGAGCCATGATGAAATCCTGAGAGATACCATGGCCCTGGCCATGATGTCCCTCCCCCCCTGGTCCCCCCCTGGAACGACCCCCCCCTTTGGAGGGGCACCCCTGGAAAGACCCCCCTTCGGAGGGGCACCCCTGGAACGACCCCCCCTTTGGAGGGGCACCCCTGGAAAGACCCCCCCTTTGGAGGGGCACCCCTGGAAAGACCCCCCTTTTGGAGGAGCCCCGCTGGAAAGACCCCCCTTTGGAGGGGTCCTCCTGGAAAGACCCCCTTTCTCTTTCGGCGGCGAGCGCAGAGGGGAAGTGAGGAGGGGCAGGCCTCCTGGGAAGGCGGCGGGGCTTCTCAGATGCCCTCTGGCCTCCTCATAAGCTGCCCCTGCACTCGGAGAGGGCTCAGAACACTTCTCGGAGAACCGGAGGCCTTCCGGTCCTTCCGAGAACCCCGAGATCCGACGCTGCAAGTCACAACCTGAGCTCTAGACCCAGTCCTCCTGCGTCGCTCTCCGAGCCGCATCGATCTGTGAGGGGCCCTGGGGCCCGAAACCGGGCGAAAACGCTGGGGGCGTGAAAGAGTGGCAACGCCAAGACCTGAGGGAGGGGTCACCGGGTTCTGGTCGCGCGGTGCTGCGATCCTCCGCTTTCGCCTTTTTGTCGGGCCCCGGACCCTCGCAGGTCGGTCCCGCTCGGAAAACGTCGCCGAAAGGTGGGCCCGGAGGCCGCCCTCACAGGTCCATCCGGCTCGGCGAACGGCGCCCGAAGATGGGAGCCAGGGCTCCGGCGGGCGCGATTGCCTCTACGAGGTTGCCCTGAGTTCGCTGCGTCGGATCTCGGACAGGGACTGCTCCTCCTCCTCCTCCTCCCCCTCCTCCTCCTCCTCCTCCTCCTCCTCTCCTCCTCCTCCTCCTCCCCTCCTCCTCCCCTCCTCCCCCTCCTCCTCCTCCCCCTCCTCTCCTCCTCCTCGTCCTCCCCCTCCTCCTCCTCCCTCCTCGGAGGCGTCTCCCCAGAGAGCGGCCCGATGGAGCCCTCGAGGCTCGTGCAGTGACCCCGCCCCTGACCTTCCAGGAGGATTGGCGACGAAACTCACGAAATACTAAATACATATATATATACCCCAAAAGGGTCAACAAATGCTCAAAAATAATCCCCTGACTCTCTCTCTACTACTTGTGGGTGTCCCTCCTGTAGAGGGGCGGGCGGGCCCGACGCAAGTCTAGGTCGTCGCCCCAGGCCCGACGCCGGGCCCCATAGAGCTGACCTTCCAGGAGGACTAAAAAATAGCACGCGACTTAAAAAAACATCCCAGAACTACTATGCTATATGTCCTGGTTTTAGGCTGCTTCGTTTTGTTTTTTAGGTCTTTAGGCCTCCCGTGCTAAAAACATAGCTCTCTGGAAGGTCAGGGGCGGCCCCGATGCCTCCCCACACCGTGCGGTCACGTCGCGCGGGGCCCCCCGGCGGCAGGCCGGGGCGGGGGCGGAGGCGGCCGGAGCGCGGGCGCAGAGGGCGGCCAGCTCCGAGCAGCCATGCGCGATGGCCGCGCGGCGCGCCCTCTGCCGGCCAGGCTGCGGGCGAAGCAGGCTCAGGGGCGGCGCGGGCACGACCGCGGATGCGCGGCCACCAAGGAGCGCAGGTCCAGAGCGTTAACGAGCTCCGTCGCCGAGGCCCCAGGCCACCATGGAGGTGCCCCAAGCGCAGAGGCAGGGGTCGCACGTGGGCGGTATATGTTCGAAGCCTGCAGGGCAAGAGACCCCCGAAGCCCCAAATGAAGATCGAGGCTGCGGCAGTGTAGGGGGCTTGAGAGGACAGAAATACTCGACCCCCCAGAACCCTCACCCGTAGACTGAAATCGACACTGCTTTCGGGGGCGGTGGGGATCAGAATCCACCTCTCACATGTAGGGGTTCGCACAGGTGGGTCCATCCACTGGAGCTCCAGCGCGAAGCGCCGAAGGGTGCCCCTCGAAAGGCAGGGCTGCCCTGAGCCCTCGCGCCAGTGGTGGCCTGGAGGCCAGGCAGTGCCCGCCCAAGTCGCAGGCGCCCCCCCGCAGTGGGCCTCAGGTGCGGTGGGGGTCGGAGGGGAGGACTGGCTCCGCAGGGAAGCAGTGACTCGCAGTCGCCGATACATCGCCAACAGATCGGGGATGGGCCACCGACGGCCAGGCGGGGTACAGAACGGCTCCGTCGAGGGCAGCGCGTCGGATGGACTCCCATTTTCCCTCTCCCCCCTCGGCCTCCGATCTGGACTCCCCTCCCCTCCCCCAGGTGGGCAGTGCACCCCTTCTTCTTCTTCCTCCTCCTCCTCCTCCTCCTCCTCCTCCTCCTCCTCATCCTCCTCCTCCACCTCCCCCTCGCCCTCCCCCTCCCCCCCTCCTTCCCGCACTGACGACGGTGTCGCCGTCGGCGTCCTCGTCGTCGTCGTCACCCAGCGTCATCCTCGGCGCCGGCTGGGCCGTGGCACTGACGACGGCGTCGCCGTCGGCGTCCTCGTCGTCGTCGCCGCCGTCGCCGTCTCCCTCGGCGCCGGCCGGAGCGCGGCCTCAGCCGCCAGGCGCGCACGGAGTTGTCCAGCGCCGCGCTGCCGACGCCCGGCAGCCGCGGCCGCTTCGGCGGCGGGCCTGCGCGCGCCGCCGCCGTCGACGTCGCCGCCGTCGGCACCGTCGGCGCTGTTGCTATCGGCGTCGGTGCCGTTGGCCTCGGCGTCGCAGACGTCGCCAGCGTCGCCGGCGCGTTTGGCGTCGGCGTGGCCGTGGCCGCCATCGTCGTGGCTGGCCGTCGGCGCCGCGCGCGGGCGCCAGTCTCGGCCTCTCCGCTCGCGGGCCGCGGGTCACTCAAGAAAGTGTAAGACCTTGATTCTCGATCGAACCTCGGTCGTCCCCGATCGCCTCGGTCCTCGAGCCTCGATCCTCAACCTTCCCTCCTCCTCCTCCTCCTCCTCCTCCTCCTCCTCCTCCTCCTCCTCCTCCTCCTCCGTTCCTTCTCCATATCCACCTTCTCCATATCGCACCCCGAGACCTGTTTTTTAACCACTTACGAAGCTTACCGAGCGGCAGCAGCTTCACAGATGGAGGGCGGGTCGTTTTCAACATGTGGCTGTTGCCTTAGCGCCGCGTACATTAATTTAATTCAGAAAAACTGCAAGAAATTCACGGATTAAGGGCGGGTCGTTTTCAACATGCTGTTATCGCCTTTGCGCCGCGCAAAAGTCGCTCCAAACATTCGCAAGAACTGCCCGGATTGAGGGCGGGTCGTTTTCATTATGTGGCTCTCCCCTTAGCGCCGCGCACATTCGCTTTAAACTTTGCAAGAGCGTCACTGATTAAGGGCGGGTGGTTTTAAAAATGTGGCTCTCGCTCCAGCGCCGCGCACATTTGGTTTAAACATTTGCAAGAGCTTCGCGGATTGAGGACGGCTCCTTTTCAAAATGTGCCTCTCGCCTTAGCGCCGCGCACATGCTTCAAAGCTTTGCAAGAGTTTGACGGATTCCCATGATCAACGTACCAAAGATGGCGTTTTGGAGAGACAACAGAGACGTGAATTCGCAGTGTTGGAGTTCCAGGAATGGCGTTCTGGCACGATTCAAGATCGTCAAGACGCAACACCCAGGTTGATCCGTGGCGTTGGAATCCCGAGAATATTGTTTTGGCATGTTTCAGGGTCTTCAAACGGTTGTCTTTCAACGAGGCAGTTCCCTCAGTGGAAGTGAACTGTTGCAGGGGCCTATGGGGAGGGAGCTTGGAGGGAAGATCTATTCCAACATCGTTGGTGACTCTTGGGTTTATTCTGGTCCTTCTCCTCCTCCTCCTCCTCCTCCTCCTCCTCCTCCTCCTCCTCCTCCTCCTCCTCTTCGAGCCTCGCTCCTCGATCTCTCTCGATCCTCCTCGGGCCTCGAGGCCTCGGTTGAGCCTGGATCCTCCTCGCTGTTCGAGCCTCCGCCTCCCTCCGCAAGGCCTGAGCCCGGGCACCGACAGTGAGGCCGACACAACAGCCGCGCGGGCGCAAGCAGCCCAGGCAGGCACGGCGACGCAGCCCCAGACATGATGGCGTCGTGAAAAAATCAGGGCGGGAGCTTTTTAGCCAGGTTCGGCCTTATTGGGGAGCCCTCGCCGGGCCTCGGGACCGTCAAAGAACGATTCGGGATGAAAACCGGTCCGGGGAAAGGGTCGGGACTTCTTTAGGGACCCAGCATTGAAATTATCCTGGCGAAGGTCCCAACCATATGCAATTGTGGGTACCGTAATTGTGAATATCTTCTTCGGTGAAGCTCCCCATGGGGCCACGAAGCGCTGCACTGGGCGGGGGGGAACGCTGTAGTGGGTGGGTGGTGTGCCAAATTGGGTGTCCGGGACGCATGCGGACGGTCCCACTGGGGGCTTCGGCGGAGCTCCCTATGGGGCCACGAAGCGCTATACTGAGTGAGCGAAAATGTCAAATTGGGTGTCCGGGACGCATGCGGACGGTCCCACTGGAGGCTTCGGTAGAGCCCCCTATGGGGCCACGAAGCGCTGTACTGAGTGAGCGAAAATGCCAAATTGGGTTTCCGGGACGCATGCGGACGGTCCCACTGGGGGCTTCGGTGGAGCCCCCTATGGGGCCACGAAACGCTGCACTGCGCGGGTGAAAATGCCAAATTACACTTCCCGGACGCATGCGGACGGTGGCACTGGGGCCTTGGGTGGACCTCCTCCTCCTCCTCCTCCTCCTCCTCCTCCTCCTCCTCACACACTTTCTCCGCCTACCCTGTCACGTTGTCCTTGAGCTCCTTCCTGTGATCACACATCCCGTCGCCATCGACGGCCAAAACCTTCAGGGTCGGCGGCACCGACCGTACGGCCGTCACAATAGCCAGAAACCTCCCGTCCTGGTTTTTGTACGACGCGGTCGTGTCTGGGAAGGCTCGAGGCTCGAGCATCGCATCGCTCGAGGCCAGGGGAGACGGCGCCTCCCGCGGCGCCCTCGGCGTCGCTGTCCGCGCCAAAGTCCGGGAAGTGCCTGCCGCCCGATGCGCTCACGAGGGCGCCGCCCGAGGGGTGCAGCATGGCGGACGTGCACGGCCTGCGAGGGCCGCCCGCGCCGCAGCCGGGTGCTGCCGCCGCCGCGGCCGCCCCCGCCGCTGCCGCCGCTCACGCGCGGCGAACGCATCCGCACCCGCGCCCTCGCGGCCTGGACCGCGGGGCGCGACCCCGCGGGCGCGCGGGCGCAGGGGTGCGCTCCGCGCGGGGGCGTCCGCGAAAAGAAACAAACACCCCGCGCCCGCAGGGTCGCAGACCAAGGGGGGGCCCGCCCGCGAGACCGCGGAGGCGGAGGAGCTTCTCGCCCGCGAGGTGCCGCCGCCGCCGTCGCCGCCGCCCCCGCCGCCGCCGCCGCCGCCGAGGTCGTCGTCGCCGTCGTCCCCTGAGATCACCCGGGCGCTGCAGGTCTTCTCGCAGCGGCCGCCTCTCCGCCTGGGCTCGGCGGCCGGGCCAGCACAAATCGATCCGGCTCCCGAAATGCCGCGGAGAGGGGGGTCTGGGACTCCCCTCGCGATTTGTTGGCAGTGTCGTATTCTTGTTCGCGGCGTCGTATCTCAGGGTCGTCGTCGTCGTCGACGGCGTCGTCGTCTTCACCGTCGTGGTGGTGGCCGTCGCTGTCTGTGCCGTCGCCTGCGCCGGCGTGGCTTTGTCTTCGGCGGCGGGGGCGATGCCAGGGGCAGAGGACTGCCGCCACCGTCGGCGGCGGCGTCTTCGCCGTCGTGGTGTCGCCCTAGACACCATGGCGCCCTCAACAACAAAAGCCGGGGCGGCCAGCCTGTCGCCGCTCGCGACCCGCGGAGGCGGTTTCCAGGCGCTCAGGGACCGCCAGAGAGCATCTCGCGAGGAAAAGCTGACCATGGTGGAGGGGTCGTACGCCCCTGCTTATAGGGTTGACAGACGTCGAAGCTAAGAACATGGACGTCGCTCGAGGCGCTTCTTTTTTAATAGACAGCAACCCAGGTCCAGAGATGCACGCGGAAGCTCTAGGAAGAAGCGAGGCCCCGAGGAAGCGAAACCTGGAGCCCACGAGGACTGACGCCCTTCCCAAGATCCCTGACGGGCGTCAGGCGAAGCGTCGGTCCAGCACACCAGATCGGACCGGGATGCGTCGCGAGGCTCTCCGACGCATCCGGCGGCTCTGGCCGCAACGCCGCGGGCGCGCGGCCGCTCCATGAGCGCTCCATGGAAGGCTCTGGAGCGACGCCTCCCGACCACGGGGCCTGCCCGCGAGGTCGAGGGGCCCGGAGGCCTGCGACGGATGGCTGGGCAGGCGGCGACGCCCGAGCCCTATATCCCCACCAGCCGTCGATATGCTCCCGAGCCGAGGGGAGGCACGGGTGGGGCTCGGACCTCGCCACGCGACAGACGGACTCCGAGCCCTCCCCCCGCTGCCCATCGAGTGGCCCGAGTCGTGCATCGGCGGAGGTAGGGTTTGGACTCCACCGCCAACTGGGGTCGGCGTCGGCGGCGGCGGCGTCTTCGCCGTCGTCGCCGCCGCCGCCTTCCCGGGCGGGCCTCGGATCGAGGTACACATCCGTTCCAGAGAGCGCTCCAGACCGCCCTCAGGGCGCACTCTGGAGCGCTCTGCAACGGCCGCGGCGCCAGGTACGTCCTCCAAACCCGCCAATTCTCGGAGATCCCCGGTGTAGCTGCTCGTTGTACGCTCTGACGTTGCCTCGATCCTGCCGCTGTCGGACCTTCCCCGCCTTCGACGGGCGCACGCTCCGCCCCGCTGCGAGCCCGCCAGGCCCGCTCCCAGCTTCGGCGGCGGAGTCCCGCGCCCGCTGCGACGCCCGTCGGGGGGCGAGCAGCTGGCCGTCGCTCGGACGTCCATTCCCTGTGTTTTTGTTCGGTTTCGTGCGTGGCGTTTTCGCCAAATGATCAAGGATGCTCCTCGATTGTCCTCGCCGAAGGAAAAATGCACACGTCCGAGCGATGCCAAGGCAGGGGAGGAGTGGAGATATCCTGGCGGGAGGCTCGGCCACGTGCAGCTGCGAGGGGATGCGCTGGACGAGGAGCCACGGGAGGGGCGTCCAGGGCCTCAGGCCCGACGGAACACCGATTCGAGGCTCGGCCAGGGATATGCCGCCGAGAAGGCACCCTCCAGGGTCCGAGGCCTCCTGGGCACTTTCTTTAACGAACGCCCCTGCCGTAGGCAGGTGCGCGTGCCGCAAGGCAAGCGATACGAAAAGGATGGGAGCGAATCGCGCGAGGGGCGGGCCGGAATGGCAGAGGCGGCGTGCGCGCGCTGTGCTGCCGGGGCGCCTTCGGGGAAGCCCCCCTTTCCTAGGGGGCCGCGAAGCGTGCGGGATGCGCCGAATTGGGGCGGTGCCGCCAAGCGGACTTTGCCAGCGGAGCCTTCGATGGAGCTCCCCACGGGGCCACGAAACGTGCGAGGGGTGCGCCGAACTGAGGCGGTGCAGTCCTGCGGACTTTGCCACGGGGGCGTTCACGAAACGTGCGAGGGGTGCGCCGACATGGAGGCGGTGCAGTCCTGCGGGCTCTGCCACGGGGGCGCTCGGCGGAGCTCCTGGATGGGGCCACGGACCGCGTGAGGGGTGCGCCGACATGGCGCGGCGCCCAGGGCCCTCGGCGGAGGTCCCTAGGCGGCCACGAAGAATGTGAGGGGTGCGCGGACATGGGGCGGTGTCCTCTGGCGGAGTTTGCTACCGGGCCTTCGGTGGAGCTCTCCGTGGGGCAGCCACGAAGCGTGTGACGGGTGCACCGAAATGAGCACGCGGAGGGCAGGGGCAGTGATGAGAGGAGGCAGGAGGAGAGGCGGGAGTGAGTGACGCCCCCCTTTCGTTCTTGCAGAATCGTGCGCATCCTGCTCTGAGAGCGCGTCTCCCCCCTGCCCCCTCTCCTCCGCGGCCGACCCGCCGTCTCTCACACTGCACGGGTGCACAATCTGCCCGCCCGCGGCCCATTTTGGCCTGAACGCGGTGTGGCCCACATCGTTGCGACACGACAGTTCCTCGAGTCGTCGTCATCGGCGGAGGAGGCGCCGTCTTCGTCGGCGTCGCCTCCGCCACCACCGCGTTCTTCGCCCTCGGCAGGCGCTGGCGTCGCCTTCTTCGCCGTCGTCCGCTTCCTTCGCCTTCTTCGCCGTCGTGCTCTTCTCCTTCGTCGTCGTCGGCGTCTGTCACCGCCGTCTTCTTACGTGCCTGACTCGGATTATGATTATGACTATGTTTGGTATTCTCTGATGTGTGTTCCTCGAGTCGTGGTCGCATCGTCGGCGGCGACGGCGCCGTCCTCACCACCGCCGCCGCCTGCTTCGCCCTCGGCGGGCCCTCCCTTCGTCCTATTCGCCTTCGTCCGCCATCCTCTCCCACCTTCGCCGTCATCGTCTTCGCCTTCGCTGGCGTCGGCGTCACTGCCGCCGTCGCAGCCGTCGCCATCTTCTTATTCTTCTTCTTCTTATTCTTCTTATTCTTCTTCTTCTTCTTCTTCTTCTTCTTATTATTATTATTATTATTATTATTATTAGTAGTAGTAGTAGTAGTAGTAGTAAACGTAGTAGTCGTAGTAGTCGTAGTAGTCGTAGTAGTAGTAGTAGTAGTAGTAGTAGTAGTAGTAGTAGTCGTCGTCGTCGTCGTCGTCGTCGTCGTCGTCGTCGTCGTCGTCGTCGTCGTCGTCGTCGTCGTCGTCGTCGTCGTCGTCGTCGTCGTCGTCGTCGTCGTCGTCGTCGTCGTCGTCGTCGTCGTCGTCGTCGTCGTCGTCGTCGTCGTCGTCGTCGTCGTCGTCGTAGTAGTAGTAGTAGTAGTAGTAGTAGTAGTAGTAGTAGTAGTAATAGTATTACTGTCATGTTCCATACCTTTCCCATTCACGTTGTTCTGTTTATTTTCCTTCGCATGCTTCTTATGATAATACCATTATTCGCTGTGTGGTGTTTCTGGGATCTCGGGCCAGGCGAAAGGGGGGGATAGCACAGGGGGCGTTTGAGAATCAGCTCACGGAGCTAATTTTCCCGGCGCCTCCCGGCTCCGGGAGGCGCCCATGTATCGAGGAATGGGCCCGCCGGCGGGGCCGAAACCAGCTGCATGCAGCAGATTTCGTAACCCCCCCTTCCCTATCCCCCCCTTTCGTTCGGCCCGAGAATCGTGGTCGTCCTCGGCGGTGGCGACGTCTTCGCCGTCGCCGCCGCCGCCCTCGGAGAGGCCCGCCCGCCGCGCTGCGGGCCGTGGGAAGGCCCCGCGAGGGACCGGCCTGGCTCGAAGGATCTCGGAGGACGCCGCGGCAGCTGTGCGGTGAGGAGCTGCTGCTCCGCGCGTCGCCAGTCGGCGGCGAGCGAGGGGGGAGGACTGAGAAGGAGAAGGCCTCAAGGCTCGGAAGCCCTCCAACCTGCTGAGAAGTGCTCTAGGCCTTCCCCAAAGATAGAGAAAGCCTCCCCGAAGGCTGGAGCGCTCCTAAGAAGCCGCGCCGCCTTCCGAGAGGGCCTCCTCCTTCTCGCTTTCCCTCCCCGCTCGCTCGCCGCCGAGTGCAGGCGGATAGCGTGTGGCTCCGCCTCGCGGGGCGGAAGGCTCGCGGGAACGTTCGGAGCGCTGACGCCCGGGACTGGGACGTGGGCCGCGGTCGCGCCGAAGCGCGGTGGGTGCCGCAGGGCGTCCATGGATTTTTGGTGTGGGAGCGTCACGCTCCCCATAGCAAAACCATCGAGACCCATGGGTCTCGATGGTTTCCTGCAGGAAACCATCGAGAGGAAACCCAGGGCGCCCTGGAGGCAAGCAAGGCGTTTCTTGGCATGGGCTTCCCCTGTGCTCTGCGAGGTGCCCTTGGCTCCCCCCTCCTCCCGCGCGCGGGCACACACAGAGACGAGGGCCGCCGACGTGCCCCGGGGGCTCCTGGAGCGCAGCCCCTCGGCATCGCTCAGATGCCCCTTCCCCGTGCCTGCCGTCGGTGCCGTGCGGTGGTTTTCCCTCGGCTCCACGGGGGGGCCAAAAGCTGCTCCTCGAGGCCACTCGCCGAGACGAGACTTTTTTGGTCGGCGGGGCGAGAGCGAACCTCTTCCGCTGAAAGCTAGGCACGCACAGCTCTCATTGGGGAGGCAGGGCACAGGCGGGCGGGGCCTCAGGCGGCCAGAGAGGGCGGGGCCCAGGGTGCAGGCGGTGCCGAGCCGAGACGAGACACGCACACGCCCGAGCAACGCCGAGCGCCCCAGAGCCGGCCGCGGCACGCCGCCGCTCTCTCGCCCCGAGGTCGCCCCGTCGCCGCCGGCGCCCCCCGCTGCCGGCGGCGGGGGCAAAGAGGAGGGCCGAGTCCGGCCTAAGATTGAGCAGGGACCGACCGTCCCGGCATTCCTACAGTCGGGGCGTCGACCTAAGGAACCCTATATTAGGAACGATGCCCCGTTCTCCCAAGAGTTCAACTTCGATTTTTCCCATGGGCAACCTCAGGGGAACCTAAGGCAAACTGCACAACAATCAAGGAACACCGAGCCCCTCCCCAACGAAAAGGGTTCCTTCGTCAGCGCCCCGACTGTATAGGCCTACCACGAAATTCTTGAAGCAGAAGCCCGATGCGTTAAAACAGGGCAGTCCCCGCCGGAACTGTTCTAAGGGCATGTCGTGGAAAGCACAGAAAGGTTCCTAGAACATTGTTTGGTAGGCCTGTATAGGCACGCCAGGACGCTTCGCCACTGCTTGAAAACAAAACGCGCAGTTATCCCAGGCCCGGCTTCAAAAAACACGCAGCTCTCTCAGGCCGACTTGAGCACAGCGCCGAGGGAGGGCAGCAGCAGGCAGGGAGTAGCTCGCAACCTCTCTCTTCTCCGCGGCCTTTTTGGATCAGGTTATGAAGCCCGACAGGGGCGACGGTCCCACCTGGCCTAGCGCTCGAGAAAACATCCATCTCAAGGAGGCCGAGGCAGACGGCGCACGGCCTCCAGAGGCCGCCGCTTCACTCTCGCCGTCGCCGCTCCTCCAGGAGCGCCCTCCTCCCCAGAGCTCCTCCCCCTCGTCCTGCGCGCGACAAGGGGCACGGTGCTGCTGCCCACTTTCGTCGGGGATCTACTGGCCCGGGTCAGTTCAGACCCGGGGCAGTCAGGCTCTGCAAGAGCCTGCGAGATCCAGCACCCAAGCCTGGGTCAGTGTGCAGCCCTGGCCCTCCAGGCTGCGGCAAGGGCTGTGCTCCAACAGACCCCCGTTTGCATTGACCCCCGCCTCTCGATCCCCTTCGGCCTCTTAGGGTCCCTTGCTTGGCATCGGGGCCGTCAGGAGACGACTCGGGATGAAAGGCCTGTCTTGGGGGGGGAAGGAGTGCAGAACTTCGAATCGGGGTCGATGCTGCTGCCCACTTAAGAAAAAGGAAAAACGGCATAAACGTAAACGTTTGGCGCTCCTCGCGGATTTCTTGGATCTGCGCTGGACCCCCTCGCCCTGGCGCGCGGAGCGCGCCAGGGGCGGCGCCGGAGGCACCGCCGAGGGGTGCCCCCGCGCGGATCCAAGACAAGCGCGCGGACCGTCGAACGTTTATATATTTGTGCAGTTTCTGCGGCTCGAGTTCGGCAACCTGGGAGCCCTTGCCGGGCATCGGGGCCGTCAGAAGACGGCCCAGGGCCGAAAGACACGTCCTGGGGAGGGAGAGGGTCCAGGCCTGTGCGGGGGCCCCCGCGCTCCCGGGGGGCCAAGAGGAGCACGGCGTCGGAGGTCCGAAGGGGCCCAGAGACACACAAACAAATAAGCAAAAATCCCAGGGCTCCCCATATTTTCCTATAGTTTCTAGGTGTTCGTCTTCCCCCCCATTTCCCACATGTTCCAACGTGTTCCTGGGAAGGAGCAGGGCGTGCTCGGCAAAGTGTGAGCGGGCCCTCCCCGACCTCGGCACCTGGTGGCCGGAGCCACAGCTCGAGGCGGCCGATCTGTGCCCCGTTCTGGGCCTCAGGGCACCGGCATCGGGCCCTCGGACCATCCAGCAAGGTTCGTGATGAGGGGAAGCGGGTCCCCGTGAACGGGTCAAGAGCTCCAGGGGGGAATAGATTCTAGGCAAGCGAAGTCGGATGTCTGGAGTCGTGGCATCGTCTTCTTCGTCTTTGACGGTCGAGCTTGCCCCGTTTCGGGCCCAGAGATTCACACTAGCCAGTTCGGCTCTGGACAATCAAGCCTTACGATGGCGTCGAGAGCTCTGGTCGTACCCTTGCCCCACGACCTCATTTGGTTTGCGCGACGTCGGATGAACTTTGGGTATATGGGAAGAGAAGAGGAGTGAGAAAGATGGAGAGGGCGAGCGAGACGCTGCCAAGCAAGGGCAAGCGCAATGAAAATTTACCCCCCCCCGTCAGGGCATCCTAAACGGGGACTTTCATAAACAAGGACATTGGTGGTCCCGATGAAATTGCAGCCGTGGGTCGGAACATTCTCCGTTATTCGTTCTCTCCAGGTGAGATGTTCAAAGACCCGACTAGCAAACTTCTGGTTTGGAGGGCCCTTGCCCCTCTTCGAGACGTTCCCGGCTGCCGGCTGTGTGCCGCGTCAATGCGGCCGAGTTCCTTCAGCTCCGAGAGGGAATAGAACAGGATGTCCTTCGGTGGTGAAAGGCTTTCGTGCCTCCGAGCTGGAGGTTTCGAGTGCAATCAGCCCGAAGACTCGTGTCTTCCAGGGTAGAAGTGAGCCTTCCTGGGAACGGCCAGAAGAGGAGAATGCTGATGAGGAAGAGAGGGAGGGGGAAGGGGACGTGGGCGAGGACGGGGGGAGAAAGAGGAGGAGGAGGAGGAGGAGGAGGAGGAGGAGGAGGAGGAGGAGGAGGAGGAGGGGGAGGAGGAGGAGGAGGAGGAGGGGGAGGAGGCTGTGAGGAGGAGGTGAAGAGGAGGGGGAGGTGGAACATTCAATGGAGGGGCGGAGAGAGACACAAGGGCGGGGGGGGGGGAAGGGTGTGCGGAGCAGGGCGAGGCGGGAGGCGAGGAGCACCGCGCTGCGGGGCCCTCTCTCGGAGGAGGGGCCGGTGGTGACCACGGCGGCCCCTCCTCTGCCACATCTTCCTCCTGCACGGGCCAGCCCCGGACGAGGCCTCCCGCCGCCCCGGCCGCCTCCGCCGCGCCCACGGGCCAGCAGACACGGCCCCGGGGAGGCGCCCGGGGACCGAGGTGGAGCGGGCCTTGGGCTGACGCGGAGGGGCCCTGAGGTCCGACGCTGCGAGAAAGCTCTTCTCCTCCTCCTCCTTGTCCTCATCCTTCTCCTCGGTCTCCTCTTCCTCCTCCTCCTCCTCCTCCTCCTCCTCCTCCTCCTCCTCCTCCTCCTCCTCCTCCTCCTCCTCCTCCTCCTCCTCCTCCTCCTTGGGGGACCGTGAGAAACATCACGACGGGAGCCCCGGACCCGATAGCCCTCTGCTGCCAATGTTCGAGCCGGATCCATCTGCGAGGGTCCCCAGGCCCGAAACGGACCGAAGACGCCCGCGATGATATAGCCGCCGTTGTCGGGCAGCGAGGCGAGGAGGGGACGTAACGGTTCGGCTGTCCCTGACGTTGCCTCAACGGACCCTGCTCCGACCTCTCTCGTCCTCGGCAGGGGTCGGCGGCCCGTTGGCCCGGCTTGGACTCCACCCGGCGTCCCCGTGGTCTGTCCCCGTCGCCAGCACGTCCCCGCAGGTGCTGAAGAGGAAGCGCTGGTGAGTGCGCACGGACCTCGCCAGCCGAGCGGGAGCCCAACGCTGCACCATGTTTCTCGGAGGAGGGCCAGCCGAGACAACGGCGGCCCTCCCTGACGTGCTTCGTCCTTTTTGGGGTGCCTCCTGGGAGCTCCTCGTCGCCACCACTGGGTCCGCCTCGAGAAACGAGTCAGGATGGGCCCTGGGATGGGGTTCAAGGACCGATCTTGAACCAGAGCTGGGTTGGGCGGGAGCGCCGCCGATGTCTCACTGTCCTCTTCCGAAGTCTTCCCACCACAAAAGCAGGCAGCCATCTACAAGTCGTTACGAATGAACCGTCAGCGAGCAATCCTGGGGAATGAGTCCCTAGGAGGGAACCCAGAATATACCATATGCCTGGGGTGACCATGCCACGGGGCTGGCAAGCGCCCAGAGATGAGCTGGCACCCCAGAAGCAACAGAGACGATACGGAAAATGAGGAGGAGGAGGAGGAAGAGGAGAAAGAGGAGAAGAAAGAAGTAGGAGGTTCTCGAGGCCAGGGTATTGCGGCGGACCTCGTCATTTTCATGAGTTCTTACCAACCATCCTGTTGTGTTGGGTCCTCGTTTTGAAAGGATGGTCGCCGCGTCTCCTCCTCCCTCCTCACCCCACCTCCTCCCTCCTCCATGCGTTTCACCCATCCAATACAATGCTTCGTGGCCCCATAGGGACCTCCGCCCAAGGCCCCAGTGGGGGTGGCCACATACGTCCGCCACACCCAGTACAGCGCTTCGTGGCCCCATAGGGAGCTCCACCTGCGGCCCCAGCGGGGGTGGCCACATGCATCCGCCACACCCAGTACAGCGCTTCGTGGCCCCATAGGGAGCTCCACGCAAGGCCCCAGTGGAGGTGGCCACATGCGTCCGCCACACTCAGGACAGCGCTTCGTGGTCCCATAGGGAGCTCCACCTGCGGCCACATGCGTCCGCCACACTCAGTACAGCGCTTCGTGGCCCCATAGGGAGCCCCACGTAAGGCCCCAGTGGGGGTGGCCACATGCGTCCGCCACACCCAGTACAGCGCTTCGTGGCCACATAGGGAGCTCCACGTAAGGCCCCAGTGGGGGTGGCCACATGCGTCCGCCACACCCAGTACAGCGCTTCGTGGCCCCAGAGGAAGCTCCTCGAAGGTCCTCGCCTAGGAGAAATACGCGCACGTCCGAGCGATGCCGAGGGACGAGGAGGTGCGCCGGTCCGTTCGATCGCTCGAGCGGCCGCTCCGAGCGAGCGAAACGTGGAGCGACAGGCCTCGGAACAAATTAGCGAACACTCATGCCACATCATCTGTCAACGCCTCCCCCTCCCCAGTGTTCAAAGTTGGCGGTGGGTCTGATGAGATGCACACTTCGACCGCAGTCTCCCCCGCGCGTGCCAACGTTGAGTTTGGGGGGGTGTTCAGTAATTGTTTCCCTCTACCGGAGCGAGCGGAGGAGCGGTCTGGGGCTCGCAGTACCGGGGGGAGAGGAGGGAGGCGGGCCTGCACGCCCCTGGCGAGGCCCCCCGCGCAGCCCTCGAGGGGCTGGCTTCGGGAGCCCAGCCCGTCCGCATCAGCATGGCGCCCAGGCCGTCACCGAGGGCGGTGCTCAGGAGGTCGGCCTCGTCGTCGTGCTTCCCCATTGCAGGAGGAGGAGGAGGAGGTGGAGGAGGAGGAGGAGGAGAGGGAGGAGGAGGAGGAGGACGAGGAGGAGGAGAGGAGGAGGGGAGGAGGAGGAGGAGGAGGAGGAGGAGGAGAGGAGGAGGAGGAGGAGGAGGGGAGGAGGAGGAGGAGGTGGAGGAGGGGAGGAGAAGGAGGAAGGAGGAGGAGGAGGAGGAGGAGGGGAGGAGGAGGAGGAGGAGGATGGAGGAGGAGGAGGAGGAGGGGCACCTCGTCGTCGTCGTCACTCGTGGCTGCTGGCGGCTGCGCCCTCATCACATCCCTGTGAAATCGGCGACGTGCGAGCTGCTTCCAAGTCTCTTCACGGCAAGGTCGTTGCCGTGCACTTTCATGGCGTCCACCTGCAGTTTCGCAGCCGTTTTTTCAGGTAGTGAATTGTTGCGCATCAGCTGCTTGTTCTCCTCAAGGACATTGGTGAGATATTGCCTGTGGACTGCCATCGCGTCCTCCTGCAACTTCTTCAAACATTGGAAATGTGTGTCGTAAACTATCATGCTATCCTCAAGGGCCTCGACAAGATCATAATTCTGGATTCCCACCTCGTCCACCTATGCCTTCTTCGTATTTTGAAGGTCTTCAGCGCAGGCCTTCGCAATCAGAACACATTCATGCTCCTTTGTTTGCTGAAATAGCTGCGCCATGACCCCGTGCTGGCCTTCGCAAGGCACGTCAGTTTAGCATCCATCTTGCACTTAGGCTGTCGTATGCTCCTTAGCGGCGGGCATTGTCAGGTCTTGGTTCGGCCCGTCTCCTTCGGAGTCATTGACGGTACCTTCCACGACTGGAGGTCGCCGAGTACTCGAGAGACGGGTCTGTGCAACTTTGGTCCCGAGTTTCCCTTTCTGCTCGCCCCTCATCGTGTCCTTCCGATCCACGTTCACCTGCGCATCCACGAACGTGTCGGTGACGGTGCAACCGTGAAGCTATATTTTGCGCCCAACGCCTTTGAACCTGATAACCACCAGCGGCAACATCTTGCCAGAACGCCGCCCCCTCAGCTTCGGCCACGCGCAGAGGGAAGTATGGAGACGGGGGATGAGGGGCAACGATGCTTAGAGGGGATAGGCATAAGGGGTGGATGCATCGACCCCCAAGGGCACATTCGGGGGCCTATCGCCGATTTATCGGCGATGTATCGTCGATTCCAGGTCGACGTCGCACCCTTTCTTGCCAGAGCGCCGCACCCTTTCTTGCAACCCACTGTTTACGGCGCCCCTTGCCGACCGCTGCACGTGGTCCGGCGCCGTCCTCGAGCCGGAGCAGCCATCACGCGGGCATGACCCCCCGGGGACGAGGGGCTCATGGCTTGAGGCCCCCATGGCTTGGGAGTAGGAGGGGGAAGCCACGAAGCGCAGCGGAGCAGGAGAAGAAGAAGGAGAAGGAGGAGGAGGAGGAGGAGGAGGAGGGAGGAGGAACAGGGGGCAGAAACAGGAAGGGAAGGTGGAGGAGGTCAAGGTCAAGCGCGTCGGGGGCGACTCCGACAGGCAAGCCGCGATTGGGCTTGCCTCCGAAAGGCAGGAGGAGGAGGAAGAGGAAGAGGACCAGGAGGAGGAAGGAGAGGCTGAGCTGTGTGTCTTCGCCCGTTCCTTCCGTCCCCGTTTCCTTCCGCCCGTGGGCCTCGGGAAGCGGTGCAGCAGGCACCTCGGCACCTCGCCTGCCTCGGGGCCGCCGAGCGCGGCATCGGCCATCCGCAGGTCCTGGGGCGGGGCGCGCTGTCCCCACCGCGACGACGACGACGACGACGACGACGACGACGACGACGACGACGACGACGACGACGACGGCGGCGGCGGCGACGTGTGGCAGACGGAGACAGACTAGGTGTTTTACCCTTGAGCCAAAATTGGTCACGGACAGAAACTCCTGACGCTGAACCTATCAGTGAAAATCTGCCTCACTGCAACACTGGTCAAACTTTCTTCTAGGTTCAGCTCTCCCCATGTCAGGAGAACTGTGACCACCCATTCGCGGAAAAGCGCAGTACACGGTGGCGGCTCTCCATGGAAGCCTCCGTCCCCCAGGACGGCCGTATTCAAGAAAATAAGGTGAGAATGAGAGCAACGATGGAAGACTATCGAAATGATGGTGAAGGTAGGCCGGGAGGACCGTCCGGCCGAGAGGGAGAGGAAAGGGGGGAGATAGGACCACCACCACCACCACCACCTACCTGGTAGAGCTCCTGGTCCAGGAACTCCTGCCACGACAGCATGCTCTGACTCTGGGCCAACTGCCTTCTAGACGCCAGCTGGGAGCGATCCTTGAGCTCTGGTGCCGCTCGGCGGCGATCCAGCTCGGAGCTCTCGTCCACCAGGATGAGTCGGCCTCGAGTCATGAGGTCGGCCAGGGCGGCATTGCTCTTGGTGATGTCATCCTTTGTCAGTGGATCTACCGGCATCCTGCCGTGTGGGATCCATCGCACGCTTCCGCGCGCTCGTTCTAGTGCTTCGCAAATGATTGCGAGGTCCAGTGCAGTGCGCCTGTCCTTGGCGCTGGCGTTCCCCTCCTTCAACATCGTGTCGTAGATGGACTTTGCATCTACGACGTGCACCTGGTTCTCCCGGGACCCCAACTTGCAATCCCTACGAAGCACAGTGGTGAAGGGCCCTGAGGCCCTTCTGCACTCAGGGACGTCCACGTCCTGGAACATCACGTCCCTGTAGAGCACTTGAAGGTACTCCACCTCCGCCACGGCGGCGGACAACGCCTGGGTTTCCCCGGCCTGGGTGGACGGGACCTTACGTCGTAGCTTACTACTCCTCCAGCCCAGGAATGACGCCTTGACCGAGCTGTTCAACAGCACGGACTTGTCAGTGGCCAGCACCAACCAAGCCCCCTGGGTTGGGTCGGCCGGGAGCCCCCGGTCATCATTCATCTTGATATCCGCTCCTACTCCCCCGGCGTCTGAAAACGACACAAACGCCATACGGTCCGGGTCCAGGCTCCAGATCGTCAGGCCTCGAGAGGCCGTCGTCCGAAGATGTTTGACCAACTTGTTGGCACAGGAAACATCGTAAATCGTCGCGCTCTTCAAACGACTGGCCAGGATCGACGCGATGCCTGCGGCCTCTGGCCTGGATTCCCTGCCGACCCAGTTAAACTTATATACCAGGGACCTGAGTGCTCGAAATTCGTCAGGCTCGAGTGGGGAGTCACTACGTGACATCCTCCCCCTGGCTAAACTCAGGGGCCGAATCTCCTCGAGGATGTATTTTTCTTGATCAACGGTTATCTTCTGCTCCCCAAGCGTGATCCGCCGTCCGGCGAAGTCCACGGGACCCGCGTGGCAGTCCCGGTACTTGCCGAACTTGAACCTGGCCTCCAGCAACTGCCGGACCCAGGCTCTCGAGGTCGAGTCGCAGCTGCCGATCATGAAGTCATCTACTTCTAGCAACATCATGTTGAGGATCTGGCCCTGGGACCCATAGCGCATCCACCAGCACGGTTCCAACAGGCTTCGGACGAAGCCGTTCTGCTCTAGGTAGCTAACGACCGTGCGCCTCCACGCCACAGGGGCGTCGTCCAGCCCATACACATTCACCAGAAGCTCGATGAGGGCCCCCGGCTCCAAGTCTATCCCCTCGCAGGTCTCAACGAAGATCTGGCCTGCGGCACGCTGCATGGGATTGGACTGACAGAAGGCGTTCTTAACGTCGGCTATGTCCAGAAGCTGATGCAGGTTGGCTGAGACCTGCAGAAACATCATGATCGACGAGGTCTGGGGAGTTGGTGCGTACACTGCCAGTGAGCCCGAGTCTGGGTCACGATGGCCGTGCACGCACCACCTCGATTTTGCCTCCGGCTCGGCAAACGTTCCTTCCACCGGCTTCCACCTGCGAACCATCCGGCTGGAGATGATCCTGTCCGGAAGCTCACGTCGGATGACTTTCGCCCTAGCCGGAGGGGCGACTCGAACGGCCCCGGTCCCCATCATAGCCGCCCATTCCTTCTGGTCCGAGGCACTAAACTTAGCCCGCTCGGCCGGAGAAAGCTTTTTCAGAGAAACCTCGGCCCCTCGACCCGTGGCGAAGGTGCCACCGTCCTCGCAGACCCCGGTCCAGCTCGACTGCATGGGGAAAACCCTAACGCCCCCCTGCTCGGCCGCCAGCCCGAAATCCTCAGTGGTCCCCTCAAACCCGGCTCCGCTAGGGGATCTTGACCGACCACGTCCCTCAATCGCTCTCACACGGTCACGGACAGAGGCGGCTGGCTCACTTCCGGAGATCATAGGGGGACGCTCCTGGGAGGGTCCTGGCCCTGGACTGTCACCACCACCACCGACCTCAGGCGAGGGGGGAAGGAGAGGTCCCCTCCGGGCTCGGCACCTCGGGCGGGGCGGGCGCCGAGGAGTCGGAGCCTCCCTCCGTCTTGGCCCGCTTCATCTCGGGCGGGCAGCTCTCGGCCCGAGCTCGCGCAATGCACAGGGGCACGTCGGATGGCTGCCTCAGCCTCGCTCGACTCTGTCTCCCCTCGGCCGGGGTGGGAGCGGGAGGCAAGGAGACAGGGGCGGGAGGAGGAGGGATAGCCGGGTCCCCGTTCCCGCTCGTCGCCTCTCCGGGCGGTCCGTGGGCGTCCGTCGGACTCCTGGACTCTCCCGGACCATCCTCGTCCCTCTCATCCCGGCGGGGAGAAGGAGGGGCGGTAGGAGGGGTGATCGACCTGGCCATCTCAGACGGCTCTCGAGTCTCAGGAATTGAGGGCAGTCTCGAGCCCGGCTGGGCCACCACGGATCCGGCTCGAGATCCCGCCCTCGAGTGAGGTGGCCTCGGAAGGCCCATGGGCCCGACCCGAGAAGGATTGGGCCGAGAGCTCCTTTCCTCGGGCCCGACCTCCTCCCGAGGGACCGCCGCCGGCCCCGGGATCCTCGGTCCCGGGTCGGGGTCCACGATCGCGGGTTCGTCGAGCGAGTCATCGGGAGGAGGGCCTTCTCTCTGCACATCGACGGCCGAAACTCGCTTAGTGCGCGAGGCAAGGAGAAGCTCCTGCCACTGGGGGTCTTGGGCTAACTGAAGTCCGTACTCCTCCTCGGGACTGGCCAGTCGCAGCTGCTCCTGACTACACTTCCACAAACGGGCCCTAACGGCCACCCACACGGTCCCCCCCTCACTAAGAACGACCACCCCCGGACCGCACCACCCGTCTCTCCGACGGCCGAGGGCGTCGGCTCTGGAGGACGCGCGGGAAAAGTGTCGCCACACGAACACCCACTGCCCCGGAGTGTACCTTTGAACGACTGGCGGCTTCGCCCTCGAGGCGCGGCTGATCTTCTCGCGAGATGTCGTCTCCATCGCCAACCGTCGAGCCTCGGCCCGAATCTGCTGCGCTCTCGCAAACTCGGCCCCGGCCTCGTCCTGCTCAGCCGAAGGGCGAATGAGATCCTGCCAGCCGGGAAGCCCCCGGTGGTCGTCGGAGAGGATGTCGTGGGGGAGGCGGGGGTTCTCTCCGAAAACGAGTTGGAGGGGGGAGAACCCTCCGCGGTGCCAGAAGCGGTTCTTGTGAGCAACCAGCTCGGTGATGAGGTCATCGAGCTCTTCGATCGTCTCCGGCACGAAAGACCCCGCCTCCAGCTCCGAGCGCACTCGCTCCTTAACCCACCCCCCATGGCGTTCAACCCTTCCGTTCTGCCAGGGGGAGTCTGCGTCGCAGACGTGATGGCACACCCCCCACTGCCCCAGACCGCGGGCGAAACGCGCTCCAAATTCCGAGCCCCCGTCTGAGATCAGGAACTGGGGAGCTCCCAGAGGTCTAATCCACGCTCGAAGGAACTCCGACCACACCTCTGAGGCCGTCGCAGAGGGGAATCGAACCATCACTTGAAGGTTGGACCCGTGGTCCACAATGTTGAGATACGGCCTCGTCACCCCTTGGAACTCCAAGTATATGAGGTCCACTCCCGCAATGTGGTTGAACCTAAACGTGCGCGGGAGCGCCACCCTTCGATGAAGGCCCGATCGGGCCCTTTCCGCACACTCGGAACAGTGAAACTTAGTGCTGGCCCAGCGCACGAGTCGGCGCTTCGCTCCTCCAGCCCTGAGCACCCTCGCAAACTTCCTGACCTCGGGATGCCCCATGTTCACGTGGAGCTTGTAAATTAATCTCTTCTCGTCCTCACTAGGTTCGATCTCTTCGGAAGTGGTCTTGCCTCCTTTCGATGTCGGTCGAGTCTCAGGCTCGTCCTCGCTCTCGCTCGAGACGACCTCGCTCTCCCCCTCCGCTGGCCCGACCTCCCCTTCCGGGCAGTCATGCTCAACGAGGTCGGCCCAAGCCGCCTTACTCCGAACGGGGGCCCCCGCCCAGTGCTCCGCCACGGCTCTGGCCACGGTTCGGGAAAACTGGAGAGGATAGCGACTCGCCTTGGTGGTGATCGAACCCCCTTCAAGGACCGCATGCTGATGTCCCCCGGTGCAGAGGTGCCCCTCCAGACGCTGGAGGAGAAGCGGGTGGTTGGACAGTAGTCCTGTAGGCTTCTTATTCAGTCCTCGACTGTCCACCTGCATCCCGAAACTGCACATATCGACACGGATCCGCCTAACCCCCGGGAGCGACGAGACACAGCGAACGACGAACGAGCCCCAAGACGACGCGTAGAGAGGATGCTCGAACGCGAAGTATCTGCCTTGGTTGACTTGGTGCTCAGCGATCTCCATACAGAGCACCAGATCCCGAACGCCGTCTGACACGATCCTCTGCCACTCCGCGGG